CTCTGAGCTTTTGACAAGGCAATAGAACTCTGTCAAGAGGAGACTTGGCCAATATTTGCCTTTTTTTTTGGCTACTGGGTTAAAAAAAGACAGGACGTCTGGCAAGGCCATGGGGACAGAGACCTAGGGTCAGGAAGGCTCTGCTTCTTGTTTAATGTGATTACTTTACGCAATGCTAGAATGTGCTAAAAATGGCAACAGGCAGATCTGACTGAACTCCATATTAACAATTTCTCCAGACATATCTAGAGCCCATTCCTTTCTTTTCTCATTTTTAGATGGAATTGGAAATGTCAGGTTTCATCTGTTTCCCATTGGGGAGACTTTACTTCTTGTCTTATAGACACAACAGGAAATAAGGAGAAATATATCCAAAGGAAGAGACTTTGGTAACCAAGATAAATAGAATTCGGAAACCCTCGTGGAAACACAGCAACAAAAATGAACAGGGGGCTAACCCCTACTCATTAAAAACTACTATGCAAATCTAAAAAAAAAAAATCTTGGTTTTATATGCTTTGTAACAGCTCCCAACCATGCTATAGTGGCTAAATGGTTAGCACTTTCACCTGGCAGTACTAGGGTTGTTGGTTTGAATCCCAGCCACGGCACCACCTGCCTGGATTTTGTATGTTCTCCCTGTGCCTGTGTGGGTTTTCTCTGGGTACTCCGGTTTCCTCCCACACTCCAAATACATGCTGATAGGTTAATTGGCCCTAATATGTGCATGTATGAATGTAAGTTAGGGACCTTAGATTGTACACCCCTGGAGGGTTAGGGACTGATGTGAATGTACAATATATATGTCGCTATATAAGTACCTGAAATAAATAAAAATAGCTACAGTGCGGTTGTCCAGTTCTGGGAGGGCTTCCATGGATGTCATCCCAGAATGCAACCCCAGCAGCATGCACCCAGCGCTGTTGGTGATTAGGTAAAAGGCTGTCTTTTAACACGTGATCAGCTGTGTCCAATGACACAGCAGATCACAATGTAAATACAGTTGCCGGTTATCGGCAGTACTTTCCTCACACTGTCACAGCATGAGGAAAGTACTGCCAATAATTGGCAAATGTGACAGGGGAGATCTGCACTGATAATCAGTGCTCTGATTATCAGTGCCGCCCAGCAGTGTCACCCAGCAGTGCTGCCTGTCAGTGCCCAGCAGTACTGTCTATCAGTGCTCATCATTGCTGCATATCAGTGCCTCCTCATCAATGCTCACCAGTGCCACCTCATCAGTACCCATCAGTGCAGCCTCACCAATGCACATCAGTGAAGAAGAAAAATTACCTATTTGCAATAATAGAAACACATATTTTTATAATAGAAACAAAGAAAACTTTTTTTTTTCAAATTTCTTGCTTTTTTTTTTTTTTATAGTGCAAAAAAAAAAAAACCCCAGTGGCTAGTACAACCAAAAGAAAGCTCTATTTGTGTGGAAAAAAAATATAAAAATGTCATATGGGTACAGTGTTGCATGACCGCGCAATTGTCATTCAAAGTGCAACAGTGCTGAAAGCTGAAAATTGGCCTGGGCGGGGGGAGGGGGGGGGAGTGCCCGGTAGACAAGTAGTTAAGTTAAGTTATGAGTTGTGGTTAATCACAATTCTCGGATCAAAAGCCTTTTTTTCAAGCTTAAGTGGTGGCATCTGTTCATATAATATAATTCTACAACCATAATAGTTATTGTTCTATCATGGCAGTAATAAATACGAAGATCAAGTCTTTGCATTGTTTAATGCAGAATTGTTTGTTGTTTATTTAAAAAATATAGGATATTTTCTAAAAAAAAAATAATGATTAATGCATGTTTTGTAATATATAAAAACATTTGTTGCAGTTAGAAAATTAAAGAAATTACAAGATTGTGTTACTATGGCAAGTAGAATAGTATTTCCACTACCAATAAATATTCTGTGGTATACTGTATGACTGCAAGCTTAAAAAAATAAATAAAAATAATATACCGGTAGCTACTGCTCTCAGGCATCAAAAAATCTTTGAAATTTTCACAAGATAAAATGTAATCTCAGTTTCAGAACATAAAATAGTTTTGAGTTTAAGAAGAATTCCAGTTTAATCTGTTAGGGTCCATGAACACTAGGTGACTGAAAAAATGCCAGAACCTCTGGCAGAAAAAGCAGCATAAAAAAAATGTTCATAGTGGCTTGTATTGCACAACTGTTTATGCAAGTTTATGGGAATTTTCTTTTACAAGTTTTTTCCCCCAAAACATTCCCTTCTGCTCATTTTTCAATGTACACTTGAAAATACCGAACACTCTTAAACGTCACAATTAGGTGCATTTGTGTACATCAAGGATTTTTTTCTGCCCAAATGCTCCTCTCAAAAATGCACTTGTGTGATCCTGAAGTTGTTCTAAAGAAATAAATTCATTTCTGACTTACATATAGAATTATTAAGGATATAGCAAGCCTTGATGACAGGTTAGTGTCGAGTTGTAAATAGCTAATAAAAAAGATGCCATTTGTTAACTGTTGGGGAAAATGGATAAATAAATTAGAAATGACCTAAAAAAACATAGAAGAACAACAAAGTGTAGATTACCCTGAAAAATCTACTGAGATCCGATGGAGTCCATAAATATGAGGAACATTGCTTGACTTGGATTGTGGGGTGTCATTTCATGTTTAGGGCCACCTTCATAAGTTGATGCCTTTTACCCATACTAATGCAGATTCATGATTTGGAATTTGTTATAACTCTGGCAAAACTTCAGAATTCATATCCTTTCTGGGGTTGGGCAGGTGGAGGTCTTATGGGTATACTGTATGGGGGAGATTTGCTAAAACTGGTGCACTCAAAATCTGGTGCAGCTGTGCATGGTAGCCAATCAGCTTATATTTTCAGCTTGTTCAATTAAGCGTTAGCAATAAAATCTGGAAGCTGATTGGTTTCTATGCAGAGCTGCACCAGATTTTGCACCATTCAGTTTTAGTAAATAACCCCCTATGTGCATATGTCTCTACTGCTGTTCTGGTAGTTGTACACTGCTCTTATATTTTTTATTGGATACTTAGTCGCAAATACTTTAAGAAATCTTGAAGCCTGCATGGCCAAAACTTTTAATTTCATTTTTTAAAGTAGGGAAGGATTAATTCTCCTGTTAGTTAATTTTTAGCTCAACCAGTGGGTTGAATAAAAAAAATAAATGACTGGATTCCCCATCCACACAGTTTATGTGGATGGAGGAATCCTCCCCACTGAGCTATTGTATTCTGACAGGGGGAGACATCCTTGCTGTCAGAATACACTGATCAGCACTGCCGGCTATCGCCAGTGGTGCTGATCGAGCTGGAAAAATATCACATGGTGACTGTAAAAAAGTTGATCAGTACATTGCAGCCATCTGATTTGTACAGAGGTTTTAACACTCTACCTAAACCAAAAAAGTTCCATATTAGCTGTCAGTTATTAAAAACATCCAGACATCAAAGGCTCATTCACACCTTGTGCAGTGACTTGCATTTTTTTTTGTACTAAACCAAGGCAAGTCACAAGGGCAAATAAACAACAATGGTTACTAAGCGTCCTGTTCATATTACAATGTTTTGTTCATGTGCATTGTGTTAAATGCAACTTGTCTGCATTTTAACACAACGCACATGAACGCATGTAACTCAGCTCAGTGCAAATGAAAATAAAGATATAAAACATAAATTGTTGTGAGTGCTTTGTACCTTCCTGGGACCTGTCAATTCACAACTGGCTGACATAAAAAACATGAAAATGCTCATAAATCTGCACAGGGTGCATGTAAATGAATGAGGGAACTGCTGCATGATAAAGTAATCCTGCAGCATTACCTAAAGAATAAAAGTGTAAACTTTTTTTTTTTTTTGGAACCCCTTTTTTTTTAGTAATCTCACAAACTCTAGAAGAACTCGTATCATCATTACCAAATATTCTTTTTTTTAATTGAAATACATAGGTGTTGTAATGTCAGCAACAGTGTTGGCATTGTTTGGGCTGCTTGTTAAACACCTAGTTTACATGGTAAAGACACTACTGTTTCATGGGAGCCAGAAATAATAACGGCAGTAAGAACAGGATTGTTGTTTTGAGCAAGGTCTGCAGAACATGTGATGTCACCTAGTAGTGTAATGTTACCAGAACAGTATGCTTGCACCACACAGGAACTGCTGACAGGAGAATTAGGAGACCTTGCTGGTCTGCACTCTTCCTCTGTCTCCTGGAAAACTTGGCATAAAATACTGCCATAGCAAAGCAAGCTACCTTGGAGGCCTGAAAAAAAGAAGCTCATTATGTGCAGCTGACAAAAATGAGTTTATATATTTTTCTCTGGTAACAAATTTATTTAAATTTCCCAAAGGAAACGGGGTGTATTAGTAAGTTGTTTATGAGCAGATAAAAATAGTCATATAACATTGAAAACATTATTTTTTATTAGAGACATGCAAAAGTGTATGGTTCTGTTAAATATCTAAAATGTGGATGCGCAAAAATTGTTCCACTATGAAAGGGTTTTTTGTTTTTCACAAAGTGTAGCAGATTTTTTTTATGATATTCATATATACATTTTTTGTTTCAACAAATGTGCATATATTTGCTAATTGAAGAGGTTTGTGCATACGTAAAGTGTATGTCCAGCTAAATCACTCTGCCTTATTATTACAGGTACTTACCGTATTTTTCGCTCCATAAGACGCACCTGATCATAAGACGCACCTAGGTTTTAGAGCATGAAAACAAGATAAAAATATTCTGAACCAATGGACTGCGGACATAGTACAGGAGATGACCAGAGACTGCGGATGTACTACAGGAGATGACCAGAGACTGCAGACATAGTACAGGAGATGACCAGAGACTGCAGACATACTACAGGAGATGACCAGAGACAGCGGACATAGTACAGAGAGATGACCAGAGACTGCAAACATACTACAGGAGATGACCAGAGACTGCAAACATACTACAGGAGATGACCAGAGACTGCAAACAAACTACAGGAGATGACCAGAGACTGCAAACATACTACAGGAGATGACCAGAGACTGCAAACATACTACAGGAGATGACCAGAGACTGCAGACATAGTGCAGGAGATGACCAGAGACTGTGGACATAGTACAGGAGATGACCAGAGACTGCAGACATAGTACAGGAGATGTCCAGAGACTGCAGACATAGTACAGGAGATGTCCAGAGACTGCAGACATACTACAGGAGATGAACAGAGACTGCAGACATACTACATGAACAGAGATGACATACTACAGGAGATGCAGAGACTGCAGACACAGTATAGGAGATGACCTTAGACTGCAGACATACAACAGGAGATGAACAGAGACTGCAGACATACTACAGGAGATGACCAGAGACTGCAGACATAGTACAGGAGATGACCAGAGACTGCAGGCATAGTACAGCAAATGACCAGAGACTGTGGATGTATTACAGGAGATGACCAGGGACTGCGGATGTACTACAGGAGATGACCAGAGACTGCGGATGTACTACAGCAGATGACCGGAGACTGCAGACGTACTACAGGAGTTGACCAGAGACTGCGGACATGCTACAGGAGTTGACCAGAGACTGCAGACATAGTACAGGATATGACCAGAGACTGCAGAAATAGTACAGGAGATGACCAGAGACTGCAGACATAGTACATAGGATGACCAGAGACTGCAGACATAGTACAGGAAATGACCAGAGACTGCGGACATAGTACAGGAGATGACCAGAGACTGTAGACATAGTACAGGAGATGACCAGAGACTGCAGAGATAGTACAGTAGATGACCAGAGACTGCAGACATAGTACAGGAAATGACCAGAGACTGCAGATGTACTACTACAGAGATGACCAGAGACCGCAGACATAGTACAGGAGATGACCAGAGACTGCAGACATACTACAGGAGATGACCAGAGACTGCAGACATAGTACAGGAGATGACCGGAGACTGCGCATGTACTACAGTAGATGACTGGAGACTGCGCATGTACTACAGTAGATGACCAGAGACTGCAGACATAGTACAGGAAATGACCAGAGACTGCAGACATAGTACATAGGATGACCAGAGACTGCAGACATAGTACAGGAAATGACCAGAGACTGTAGACATAGTACAGGAAATGACCAGAGACTGCAGAGATAGTACAGTAGATGACCAGAAACTGCAGACATAGTACAGGAAATGACCAGAGACTGCAGATGTACTACAGGAGATGACCAGAGTCCGCAGACATAGTACAGGAGATGACCAGAGACTGCAGACATACTACAGGAGATGACCAGAGACTGCAGTACAGGAGATGACCGTAGAGACTGCGCATGTACTACAGTAGATGACCGGAGACTGCGCATGTACTACAGTAGATGACTGGAGACTGCGCATGTACTACAGTAGATGACCAGAGACTGCAGACATAGTACAGGAAATGACCAGAGACTGCAGACATATTACAGGAGATGAACAGAGACTGCAGACATAGTACAGGAGATGATCAGAGACTACGGATATACTACAGGAGATGACCGGAGACTGCGGACATAGTACAGAAATGACCGGAGACTGCGGACATAGTACAGGAGATGACCAGAGACTGCGGACATAGTACAGGAGATGACCAGAGACTGCAGACATGGTACAGGAGATGACCAGAGACTGCGGACATGGTACAGGAGATGACCAGAGACTGCGGACATAGTACAGGAGATGACCAGTGTTCTGTCCCCACATGAAGGCGAATGAAGGTATAACTGATAATGGCTGTGTAACTTCATACCTTCATATCCAAGCAGTGGAGCAGACCGGACCGGCAGATGTTCAGGTTAGATGGATCCAAACGTATACACAGGAATGAAATCAGCGTGGGTTTATTTGATCCAAATACAGCGACAAACAGTGATACAATACTGTAATGTAGTAGAGGTATTCATGCTGTCCTGTAATATCTTTCCTGAGGCTAACTGCTGGTCAAAAACTGTTGCCTTCACAAGCCCAGGGTATTGAATGTCCTGTCACACAGCTATATAGCAGATAAAATGGCTGCAGGAAGTGACCAGAACCAAGGCTTGCCTAAAACCACACCCAGCAGAGGAAAAACTTACTAGCTATAACAGAGGCATGCAGCATGCAAATTCTGGCCAGCAGATGGCAGCAACAGATCAAGACATAGAAACAAACATGGTGAAATAAGAATTGGTGATACAATGCACAGTTAAATAACAAATATGAGGGGAACAGCACACTCCCCGTCTGAAATTCCATAAGATATTTCACTATGACGAATGTCCATAAAATATAAAACAACCTGTAACAAAGAACATGTTAGAATGCAATAAACATAACAATATAGTAGATTCCGAGTTGGAATAGAGAAGAACCACAAAGTTCAAGTTCAGTAGAGTTCACCCAGCAGGAATGTTCTCGATGGGTAGTATCAAAATGAGTTCGTTAATTGGCCTTGCGAACATTTTAAGCTCACCCTTTCTGAAGATCTTCAACTCCACTTTACGGACCTTGCCATCCTTGCTAGGAAGAACCTTTGTAATTAGTCCCATAGGCCAGTCAATCCGTACGGTTTGTTGCTCCTTCATCAACACGAGGTCACGTTCTTTTAGGTTCGGTTTGTAGTGTTGCCACTTTCTTCTTCCTTGAAGAATATTGAGATACTCCTTTCGCCACCTGTTCCAGAAGTAATCAGCTAGGTATTGTACACGTTTCCAGTGTTTTTGTAGTAGATATTCTCCATGATAATAGCGTAATCTCAGTTTTTTTGGGTAAGTAGGATAGCTGGAGTCAGTACGGCTGGTGTTTCAGGATCCATAGATACTGGCACGAGGGGTCTAGAATTGATGATAGCTGAAACTTCAGCGAGAAGGGTGACTAGAGTCTCATGTGTGAGTCTTGAAGAGTTTACATCCATCAACATAGAATTCAAGATGTTGCGTGAGATCCCGATCATTCTCTCCAGGAGCCCCCCATGTGGGAACTATGAGGAGGATTGAAAATCCAGGTGCAACCCTTTTCCGCCAAGTGATCTTGAATGGATTTGGTGTCTATGTTCAGTTCTCTACAGGCTCCAATGAAGTTGCTTCCACGGTCAGACCTCAACTGTTTCACTGGTCCTCTGATTGCAAAGAACCGTCTTAAGGCATTAATAAGGCTGGATGTGTCCATGGATTCTATGACCTCTAAGTGAACGGCTCGCACACTCATGCAAGTAAATAGTACAGCCCAACGCTTACTGTTTGCGTGACCGCCACGTGTCCTGCGTGCGGACACCATCCATGGCCCGAAGACATCTAGGCCAACGTAGGTGAAAGGCGGCTCTGTACATAGTCTGTCCACAGGCAAATCAGCCATTTGTTGGTGTAGTTGTTTTCCTCTAGCTTTGCGACAGTGAATACAGTCATGCAATACTTGGGCCACACATCTTTTCATACCTATAATCCAAAGGCCAGCAGACTGTAATTTGCCCTCAGTGATTTGCCTGCCCTGGTGTTCAGTCTTTTTGTGGTAGTGTCGGATCAGCAAGACGGTGATATGGTGTTTGCTGGGAATGATGAGAGGATTTTGTTCTGCAACTCTTAGGTGGGCTTGATTCAAATGACCACCAACTCTGAGCAAGCCAAAACTGTCAATAACTGGATTTAAGTTGGCAAGAGGGCTTTTTATTGGAATCTGCTGTTTGTTGTACAAGCACTTCCATTCTACATTGAATTCCCCTTGTTGGACGTGACGTATTATGAGGGACTCACTATGAAAGATGTTCTCCGCAGAGAAGGTTTATGGCAGACGTGCCAACCGTGACAATCCTTATCTTTGTGAGTATTGTGATAACATTTTGCAATGTGCACTAACCTTGCGATAGTCCTGACGAGTCTCATCCAACTAGAGAAACGTTCAAAGCGCTGGCAACCGAGGCTGGAGGTTTGCTTTGTTCCAGTGACCAATGCACTAACTTCAGCGCGGATTTCTGGATCATTATCCGGATCCTGGATGCTGAAAACTTCCTGTACACATTCGCCCGCCTGTCTTAGCAGAAACTCTGGACCTGTAAGCCAAGTAGAGTTAGTAAAGGAACCTACAGACATAGGTCTAGTGGCATGATCTACTCCGAATGAAGGCAAGTAGCAGCACTTGTCGTTCTTCCTTAAGGACGGAGCTGGTTCTGCATGGTTGTTACGGAATATTTTATCCATAAAGGCGACGATGTGTTCTCTCATTTCAGGCTTGCTGTTCATGGTACGCTGAAGAGATTTAAATCAAGACAGAGCTTGTTCCCGGTTGTTCGGGAGTCTTACCCTGTTAGCTCGGAAGGGTAATGGAGAAACCCAGTGATTGGTTTCGTCTTTAAAGAACTCACTGTCCATTATCTCGACAAATTCTCTGTCCTCTACTGACAAGGCTACTTTATCGTCGTCCTTGGTTGTATGAAAGACTGATCTCCCCAAGTTGTCGGCAAAGAGGGGAGTAATGACGTCAGGTAGTTGTACGAGGCCTGGAGACTTCTCTTTCACCTCATAGTGATGAGGACACGCTTAATGCAAGTTGTGCGTCCATCTGCACGCACGTACGTTTTGAAGGAGTCGATTTTTGGTTGATTTAAGCATACATTTCCTATGATTACCCATCCCAAGTCCAGTCTCTGGGCATATGGCGCATAGTCAGGACCATTACACTGTTGACGCACCTTGTGTACCCTTAGATTGTCTCTGCCGAGCAGGAGTAGAATCTCGGCGTTGATGTCCATAGGTGGGATAACGTTGGCTAGGTGCCTTAGGTGAGGTTGGTGAAATGCAGCTTCTGGGGTAGGAATCTCGTCCCTATGGTTGGTATTTGATCACATTCGATCAGCGTCGGGTAAGGGTATTTCCGTATCCCCACTGACAGGAGAAGCGATGAATCCTTGTGCCCTTCTGCCGCTAGTCTCTATGCGGCCCGAGCAGGTGTTTAAGGTATAGGGTTCGGATGGTCCCTTTATTCCAAAGGCTTCAAAGAATTTAGGACCTGCTAGGGACCGGTTGCTTTGGTCATCAATGATGGCATACATTTTTACTGCCTTTTCTGGTAGTCCCTCTGGGTAGACCTTGATCAGGCATATTCGGGCACAACATTTCTCGCACTGGCCCTCCCCACATACATCCAAGCATGAGCAGGAAACAGCAGTCGCTGCATTAGCGTAATTTTGGGGCTCCCCGCCATGACTTGGAGCAGGACTGGTGGTGACGGCAGTGGGTGAATCTCTGGAGAGTGGGATTGGGTGCATAGCTGAGGACATGTCTTTCACTATGACACTCCTCACATTCGATGACAGATTTACAGTCCTTAGCCATGTGCTCCAATGAAGCACAGCATCTGAAAACATACCCCGAGCTCGGTGAGGATTTTCTTGCACTCCTGTATGTTTTTGGATCTAAACCCTCTACATTTGTTCAGAGAGTGTGGTTTTTTATGATGGGACATTCACGATTGAAAGTCTTATCTCCTGATGAGGTAGTGTACTGTTTACCCGTGGGTACTACAGGAGATGGTAGGTTAGTCTTTCTAACACTCACGCTGCTCTTGAAGTCTCTGTGTTTATGCATGACGCTTTCATACCTTGGTGATGATGTCGCTGAAGCTGTAGTATTGAACTCCAGGAAGTCGAGGCTGGGGTCATTCCTCATCTGGGACTGTTCATCGATAAACCTACAGAAGTGAATAAATGGGGGGGGGGAAAGGTGATGTTATGCTCTCTTTTGTACCTTGAGACTGATGCCGCCCACTTTTCTTGCAGACTGTATGGTAGCTTCACGACAATTGGGTTCACTCCGTGAGCTGTATCCAGGTAGCACAGCCCGGACAGACGAGGGTCACCCTTGGCAAGCTCCAGTTCCATGAGCAGATCACTTAAATCCTGAAGCTTCTGGACATCCTTGAGATTGATCCCTTGGAACGTTCTGCAGTCTCTTGAATAGGGCCTTCTCTATTGCTTCTGCACTGCCGAAGGTACGTTCGAGTCTCTGCCAGGCAGCAGCTAGACCTGCTTCTGCTTGTCCCACGTAGACAGTTCTGAGGCTCTTGACACGATTTGTGGAGCCTGGGCCCAGCCATTTTGATCAAGAGGTAAAACTCCTGCTCTGCGGTTAGGTTGAGGTTAGCGATGGCAGCCTTGAAGGTTGCCTTCCAAGCTCTGTAGCTCTCTGCACGGTCATCAAATTTTGAGAGACTGGTGTTGATTAGCTCTCTGCTCACCATAAACCTGGCAAACTCAGACATATCTGATTTCTCACTGCTTGTTGCCATGACGACTTGTGATGCCCCTGGGGCGTATGGGCTGCCTGGCGTGAAAGGGTGAGATGCTTCCGGGTAGAATGATGTAGCTGCAGGGTTAAGGTTTAGCCTCTGTGGATTGTGATGACTGCTGCTTGAGCTGTGGAGGTAGGCCAGAAAACGCCTGATAGCGATCTTGCTGTAACAACCGTCCTTGAGAGGGCACATCCGGGTAATGGTTATTAGGTTGCTCGGGTGCTGTGGGTGGCACTGGTACCGCAGGTAGAGCTGACTTGGAGGTTTCAGTGTTGTCGGCTTGGACGGTACTGCAAAAATGGGGGTGGAGCAGATACCTGATTCAGTACATAGTCACTGGTGCGATCAACTGGATCATCTATCTCCTGTGGTAGTGAGCAGACTGGATCAAGACCTTGGCTCAATGCTTGCTCAAGTAGTCTTACTTTAGCTAATGCAATTTCCTCCTGCATCTCTGATTCAAAAATCTTTATTCGAGCTTCTGCCCTCTTGGCCTCTGCTTCTGCCTCTGCCCTCTGCCTCTGCTTCTGCCTCTGCCCTCTTGGCCTCTGCCCTCTTGGCCTCTGCCTCTGCCCTTGCAAGAGCTTCTTTTTCTGTGAAGGAGCGTCTCGCTTTGGATTGCTCTGCGTTTATGCGGGCCTCTAGTAATCTGTCGCTCAAGGCTGAGCTTCTTGAGCACGATGATTTGTATGACCGAGAGGAATGTTTAGATGAATTTGATCTGTGTGATCTAGTTTCTTGCAAATGCGAGATACGGAGTTCCGCTTTACCTTTAACATCCAGCACCATGACGTCTCTTTGTCTGTCTATTGATTCTGCCTTGCTCAGTTCTGATAGGGCTTCATCGATATTAGAGTCTTTTAGAAAGGTTATATACCTTGTGGACAGTCTCTTGTATCTTTCTTGAGCTGTGTCCAGCCGCCCTACGGCAACTTGTAAGCTTGTGGCATCACCTGAGGAGCATTTAAGTCTGGACATGAGGGAGGAAACTCGTTCCCATTGCTCCTCCAGGTTATCACATAGCTCATCCTTTGTGGTGTGATAGTTTTCGATGACCTTTACTGTCGGTTTGAGAGAGCGTCTTGGTCGCACGACTTGTTCTGCTGGAAGTGTGGATTCTGTTCCCTGCCCTTCATAATGATCAGCATCAGGTTGCATTTGCTTTATTTCATCACTGGGGAACTGTGCAAAGTCCTTTTCGGCCATTTTGACTTAAGGTGCGCTGTCTCTTTAAGAAAATGAACTTTTGAATTGGGGGCTGAAAATCGCAGTACAGCTCCGATAGGGCACCTTGACAAAATTTCTAAGATATTTAGAATGAATTGTGCGGGGTTTTGCGGCGGCCACGGCAGTGTAAGGAACGTGCATAAACCGTACTTCTGTTATGCGAGCAAAAGTTAATATAGGATGTAAAGAGTGGCCTGGCGACTTGTGGAGGACTTCCAGGCGAGAGTATAGATAATGCGTATGTGCAGTGCTTCCGCATAGGCTTGTGGAACATGCACTGTAGCCGGGCAGTTTTGCTGCAAGTGGGCCTGTTGCTAGGGAGATTCCTGAGTGTGGTACTGGACTCTGAGGGAATCTGTAGCGGGGTATGGACTTTAAGGCTGTTTTTGACTGTTCTGTCCCCACATGAAGGCGAATGAAGGTATAACTGATAATGGCTGTGTAACTTCCTACCTTCGTATCCAAGCAGTGGAGCAGACCGGACCGGCAGATGTTCAGGTTAGATGGATCCAAACGTATACACAGGAATGAAATCAGCGTGGGTTTATTTGGTCCAAATACAGGGACAAACAGTGATACAATACTGTAATGTAGTAGAGGTATTCATGCTGTCCTGTAATATCTTTCCTGAGGCTAACTGCTGGTCAAAAAACTGTTGCCTTCACAAGCCCAGGGTATTGAATGTCCTGTCACACAGCTATATAGCAGATAAAATGGCTGCAGGAAGTGACCAGAACCAAGGCTTGCCTAAAACCACACCCAGCAGAGGAAAAACTTACTAGCTATAACAGAGGCATGCAGCATGCAAATTCTGGCCAGCAGATGGCAGCAACAGATCAAGACATAGAAACAAACATGGTGAAATAAGAATTGGTGATACAATGCACAGTTAAATAACAAATATGAGGGGAACAGCACAACCAGAGACTGCAGACATAGTACAGAAGATGACCGGAGACTGCGGACATACTACAGGAGATGAACAGATACTGCGGACATAGTACAGGACATGACCAGAGACTGTGGACATAGTACAGAGATGACCAGAGACTGCAGGCATAGTACAGGAGATGACCAGAGACTGCGGACATAGTACAGGAGATGACCAGATACTGCGGACATAGTACAGGAGATGACCAGAGACTGCAGACATAGTACAGGAGATGACCAGAGACTGCGGACATAGTACAGGAGATGACCAGAGACTGCGGACATAGTACAGGAGATGACCAGAGACTGCGGACATAGTACAGGAGATGATCAGAGACTGCGGACACAGTACAGGAGATGACCAGAGACTGCGGACATAGTACAGGAGATGACCAGAGACTGCGGACATAGTACAGGAGATGACCAGAGACTGCGGACATAGTACAGGAGATGATCAGAGACTGCGGACACAGTACAGGAGATGACCAGAGACTGCGGACATAGATAGTACAGGAGATGACCAGAGACTGCGGACATAGTACAGGAGATGACCAGAGACTGCGGACATAGTACAGGAGATGACCAGAGACTGCAGACATACTACAGGGGATGAACAGAGACCTTTCAGCAATGCACATATATACAGTTTGGTATAGCAGTCCACAGGCAGTCTATGGGGGGGAGAACATACCAGGCCAGCCGGGCTCACCATCCTCTCTGAGGGTGGGGCTGCCACTCACATCTCAGCTTCTACTAGTAATTCCCACCAGAGCATACAGGCTGCATGGGGCGGGGTCATTGGAGCTCCTGGACTTGGCCTGCCCCCACCCTCCTGGCTGGGGATACAACAATGTCTTTGGCGTACCCTGTTGGCTCTGCAGTGCAGTGATCGGGGCCCCAATCTAAGGGCGGAGCGGGCCTAAGGGGCAGCTGCTTTGGGCCCTGCCTGGTGCTGCTGCTCTGATGACTCGGACTCCTCCTCTCTTCTGCCACAGAGGATCCGAGCGGCCTGCCTGGTATTCTAACGCAGCGACGGGGGGGAGGGGGGGCTGGTGGTCAATATTCACTCCATAAGACACACATACATTTCCCCCCATTTTTTTAGGGGGGGGGGAAATGTGCATCTTATGGAGCAAAAAATAAGGTATATAGTGCTGTCAATTTATGCAGCACTTTACACATATATATTGTACATTCACATCAGTCCCTAACCCTCAAGGGGTGTACAAACTGAGGTCCCTAACTCACATACATACATACACATACTAGGGCTAATTTAGACTGGAGCCAATTAACCTACCAGCATGTCTTTGGAGTGTGGGAGGAAACCCACGCAAGCACAGGGAGAACATGCAAACTCCAGGCAGGTGGTGCCGTGGTTGGGATGTGATCCAGTGACCCTAGTAATGCCGTGTGGAAGTGCTAACCATTTAGCCACTGTGCTTCCTTATCTTTGTATAGAACAGGGAAGGACTGTAACTCCTGTCCTTTGATGTCACCTGGTGGAGTAGGGGGGAGGTTGGAACCCCCATTTAATTTGAATTTCTCTCTGAGTCTCTGTTGCAGATTTTCCCTCAGTTCCTGTGTGGTGGAACTGTTGTACGCAGTACACAGGAGGTAAGAATACATCTTTTTAAATAATAAATACAAATGGAAAAAGTTTAACTATGGTGTAAGTACAAGATCTTACAATCTAAGGTACCTAACTCACATACATACACACACACATACTAGGGCCAAATTACCTACCAGTGTGTCTTTGGAATGTGAGAGGAAACCCATGCAGGCACAGGTAGAACATGCAAACTCCAGACAGGTGGTTGGGAACCAAACCAATGACCTTAGTGCTAATCACTCTTCTGCCCACATATACTTGTTACATTAGCATTTATCTTTCAGGAAAGGTTTACTCAAAATTGTTTTGGTAGCACAGAAGGATGAAGTCTAAACGGCAATTTTGAGTTTTGACTGTCTGGTGAAGTTTGGCATTTCAGATTCATTCTTGCTAGATCAGATCAGCTCTAGCTCCATCCTACTTCATTGGTAGAGGTGGTATAGTACCGTATTTGCTTTCATCTTTGGTAGTTAGTGGCTTCCCTCCTGACCTGCATATATGGGCCCTTTCTATAGTCCAGTATGGCATCAAAATAACACTGTAGTTTGTTGAAATGGGACACTGGAGTCCCTAGTAGCAGGTGAGTTTAATGAGGTGCATGTGCAGTGTTAGAGTGACGTATTGAGATACTGTACATTGTGGGGGTTTCATGACAATAGAATGACCTTTTACAGATCAGAAACTTGATGTATTGGTCAGAAGTGTGACATCTATAGTGTAAGGAAAATGGATTGAAGGTTTTGTGGACTGATTTCTATTCCTTTAATAAAACAGTTAAAGTGTATTTAAACCCAAGAAACAATTTAGAAAGGTAAGAAATCTTTTAAAATTATTTTAGGCATGCTGTGTGAATGGAAAGACATAACAAATATATAGTGGGTGTTCCTCAAATTTGATTGCAAAGGTAGAAATACTATAGGGATTCATGCACATTTAAAATTGCCATCATCACGGGCATTGGCCTTTTTTTTTCAGGCTGTGAAAGCGCCTCTATGTAATCCTATCAGGTAGATTTATTAAAATTGGTGCACTTAAAGTTGTGCATGGTAGCCAATCAGCTTCTAACTTCAGCTTGTCCAATTAAGCTTTGGCAATAAAACCTGGAAGATGATTGGTTCTATGCAAAGGTGCACTAGATTTTGCACCCTCTAGTTTTAGTAAATAACCCCCATTGTGTCCGTGCACACACAGGCCTTTACAGATGTATTAGAAGAAGGAGCGTTTACAGGTGTGTTCAGAAGAGGAACTGAAGTAAAGGGCTAGATGTGCCTAAACACACCTACACTCTAGACTTGTTTAGACTCATCTAGCATATGTGCATTAATGCATTCCATTGGCTAGAATAAATTAATATTCCGGCAAATGGAATCCATTAACACTCATATGCTTGACATGCCTAAATGCGCATAAATGCGCCGAAACACGTGTACAATATGTAGCTTAAACAGACGCCCTGTGTGCATGAGGCCTAAAGTGGAAGAACCATGCTGGATAACTGAAGACACTCAGGACATGGCTTTCATCAGGGATCTAATTTGATTTCCCTGTGATCACATCACCAACATGTGTCTAACAACATAAGATTTTAACAAGTACAAAACAGATTTTAGACAGATTTTATTACTGCTATTGATATTTGTGGTGGTGCTTGTGTTAAAGTAGTTGTAAACCTCAAACATGAAACATGAACAAAGAATATCCCTCTATTGTGTATACTTATTTCAATCTAGACTAAGTGTCATTTCTGTCTGCTGCCCGATTCCTCTGCTATCAGCATGAGTCACTTCTTATGAGTTTTCCTGACACCAAGAGAAAAATGGTGAGGGGGAGGGCACAGTCTGTGATTGAAAGCATCAGCTCTGTTCCTGTGTTCTGTGTGAAGGGGAGCGTGCCCCTTCTTTCCAATCAGCTCTCAGAGCTCTCCTCACTGATGCAATTTTATCTACCCACCTCCTGCTTTTCAGAGCTGAGAAATCCGGTGTAAATTTTGAACTTTGAATGGATATAAGGAAAGACAGCAGCAAAAAAACAGGTACAACTTATGTAGGAGGGTTTGTTTAATCTCTGTGTATCACCTGAGGCCAGTCACTTCACTGGGTATATGTAAGGGTTTGCAACCACAATGGTAGTATTTGACCATTTTAAATCTGAATTATGTTGCAAGCTTCTCTACAAACTAGAAATATAATTTGAGGGGAGAGCAACTTGACTTGGACTTTGAACTCATGACCATAGTGGTTGCTAAAGAACAGAAATTTGAATAGATCGGTTTTAAATAACTGCCATTTATAGCCAGCTTTATGAGTATGATAATTGAGCATCATTTAAAAAAAATGTTACACCAGGCTTGTATTTATTGTCAAATGCAGCATGCTGTCAGGGGCCTTCAGATTGCATTTCAACATTAGAAATGTTCATGAGACCATTCTGAGTTCCTTCACATGTGCTTCTGACTTCCTTCTGACCTGCTATTAATGCAAAACTAAACCTACCGATTTAACTGTTTCCCATAACATTTCCATTCATGGTATGCCATGATTGTGGTCACAGTTGCTTGTCCTCTCAACTGAACTGTCAAGCCATCAAACAACTGGACACATGTAGCAAAATGGCAACTGTAAATAGAGGCTAAAATGGCAGCTTCCTAGGGCTGTAAAAGATTGGAGGGTTTAGTTCCGCTTTCCGATGTAATATCCTCAAGCTCCCCCCGCCAAGCACTTCGCGGTTCTGAATTTTTGCCATTTTGATTTGCTGTGCTGAGGCAATGTCACTCACACTCGTGTGAGAGTTAATTCATTTCAACAGGTGCCAAAATTGGCATAGCAGTTGTGAGTGGCTTAGTGTGCATTGCAAACAGGCCGGTGAGAATGGTTTAATGCAGAATAGGCACAGACTGTTCACTTTGCAGGTGAAATTGCACTATACAAGGACATTTGTCCCAGAATTTAGTAAATATGGTGAACATTCATTTTGCAAAGAATACCCAATTATGTGCAAGAAGAGTAAAAAAAAATGCATGTTTGCTTGCACATTACTGGATGATGGAAGTCAGCAAAGCTTTATCTCATTCTCTATGGAGCACTACATTGACCAACAATGTAAGGGAGCTTAACACTGACCCAACAATATAAGTGAGCACTATGCAGACCCAACAATGTAAAGGAACACTGACCCAACAATATAATGGAGCACTATACAGACCCAACAATGTAGAGGAGAACTACACTGACCAACAATGTACGGGAGCACTGCACTGACCAACAATGTAAGAGAGAACAACACTGACCCAACAATATAAGGGAGCACTATACAGACCCAACGATGTAAAGGAGCGCTACACTGACCAACAATGTAAGAGAGTGCTACACTGACCAACCATGTAAAAGAGCCCTACACTGACCAACAATGTAAGGGAGAACTACTCTGACCAACAATGTAAGGGAGACCTACACTGACCAACAATGTAAGGGAGCTTAACACTGACCCAATGTTAAATCTAAATTATGATTCGGCATTTATATTGATGGCAAGCTTGCAAAATATTTGGTTTTTATGATTAGTCATAATTAATATTAATATGTGTAAGTGGTCTTTGACAAATGGTAGTATTTACTATTCTTCAATTATAGCTGAGACCAAAAGATATACAAGTTAAGCTGAGATAGTATATACCAACTGATAGTTGTAGACTATATTTAGATATAGTAGGTTAAAAGTATCTGGTAGTTATGTCAAGGTTATTAGAAGTGACTTACTATTACATTATGTATTTTAATAATAATCTGTGTGTATTTAGTATACGTCTCTAACATTGATACATATATAGTTTAGTGATTATACATTGATATGTTCTTAAGCTATATTATTCTTTACGTCATTAGCTTATAATATTATTTACATCAGCATTCATATGTTCCTGTCCATCAAACATCATATGTATAGCATCCCTTCCTTATATGAAATGGCTTTGCTAAGCAGTAATAATTTCCATAGAAGGTATTAAGATCACTAACTATGACGTACATTTGCCTCTTAAAAGTCCATGAGACAACGGACATAGGAGACACTCACTCACTCACACACACACACTTACGCGCTACATGACTCTTGCATACACACGTCTGAGAAGCTGCAACAGGTGCATACTGAGATCACTTCCGGCTA